CATCATATTAAATGGGGAAAAACTGAAAACATTTCTTCCAGAATCAGGAACAAGAAAAGGGTATTTACTCATGTGTGACTCTTATTCAGTATAATACTTGAATCTTTAGCCACAGCAATTACACAAGAGAAATAAATTACAGGGATGTGAACAGCAAAGGAAGAAGGCAAAAATTCTCAATTTACAATTAATATGATTCTTCACGGAGAAGAACCAAAATATTTCACCAGAAAACTTTCATATGTCATTAACAGATTCATGAAAGTGGCAGCATACAAAACCAACATACAAATGAGTAGCATTCTTGTACATGCATGAGTCAACCAAGAAATCAGGAAACAATTCCAGGAACATAAACTTCAAAAAAATTTCAAAACCTACAAATCAACATTACCAAAAAGATGAAAGAAAATAATACAGAACATTGAAGAAAGAAACTGAAGAACACATGAGCAAATGCAAAGAACTCCCAAACCATTTCCTAGGCATTATTCATATTTATATCTGTTGAAATGACAAACAATTCTTCTCTGAGTAATGCATAAAGCCAGTAACTGGATTTGTCTGGGGATTCTCTTTTCCAAGATAATCAGTCTTGTTTCTTCATCTGTTTGACATATACAGGGGATATGAGTCTCTGAACCATCTTTCTCTTGTAAAACATAATATCCCATATTGAATGCAATGCTATTTGTGGTCTGACATGTAAAACTGATCAGAACTCTCAGTTTCTTTTTTTTTAAATTATTTATTTATTTTCATATAGGGTCTTGCTACACAGCTCAGACTCGCAGAGATCTTTCTGTTTCAGCCTCACCAGTGCTGGGATTACAGGCACATACCACCATGCCTGGTTTTTGGGGCCAGCATAGCGAGTCCAGGGTCAGCAAGCCATGTGGTACCTGAGATCGAATTCAGGTCCTTGTGCTTGCCAGGCAGGTGCTTAGATGGCTGAGCTACCTCCCCAGCCCAGCTTCGTTGTTCTTAAATCTATTACATATTTTCACACAGTCTAAGATATTCCTGGATTTTAGGTAAGTTTTCCTGTGGATAAACTAAATCATACAAAATAATATATTTTGAACTTTTAAGAGAAACAAACTTGAAATGTTATTAAGAGAAAATTGCTATATGCTAACTAAATAGGAGAGTCAAAGAAAGTAGGTAATTTTTATAATAAAACAGAAGGATAATTTCTAAGGTTAAGCAACGGAAAGGTAATGTAGTAGGAACACCATTTAATCCCAACCTAATCAAATTACTAAGAGCATTCCATAAACATCCATGTATTTCTTGTAACAAGAGGTAAGGTAATATAATACTAAGAACTCTAGAGGGACGAAGCTGGCAAGTGGATCTTATCTCACTTGCCAAATCTAGTCAATTGGAAGATAACTCCTTGGAGTAAACATCTGACCTATAAGAAAGATGTTATTATAGATTATTTACCTCACCATGTATTAGGGAACAGGAAGTAGTGACATTTGTCAGTGTTTTTCAAAGTAAATGGACAATTTAATGAGCCCTACCACAAATAGAATCTTTTTTCAAGTAGAAACAAAATAAGAGAATGTGGCAGCTCTGATATATAGAATGAGACCAGATTATATCTTTTCAAAATACTAGACAATTTTTATGCTGCAAAGGCATACATTAGGACTTCAAAATTCTAAACTAGTCTGAGGTACACCTCAGTGGTAGTGTTTGGCATATATGAGGCCTTCAGTTCAATCCTCAGAACTAAAAATAATCAACTTAAGCAATGAATGTTTGAAACTTGAGCTGAAGATTTCACTATCCTCCTTTTCCTTAATTGTGTGAGTTAACATAGTTAACAGGAATCACATGCATGTCTTAGTCACAAATTGCCTGATATGACAAGTATATAGAATGTAAATGTGCTTTGGTAACAAAACACAGATGTTATTTAAAACATGCAGTTTTTCCATAAAAGGAAACAAAGAAAAAACTAAATCTTTTTTTTCTTCATATTCAATTAGAAAGTGTACTTACTAAGGAAAATATTTTAGATCTAAGACTGACACACACATACATCTTCCAAATATGTGCATTTATTTATTTTAAAAATATAAACTTTTGGGGCCAGGGAGATGGCTTAGTGGAATAAGCGCTTCCCTGGCAAGTGCAAGGGCCTGAGTTCAATCACCGGTTCTGCAAAAAAAAATCATTACTTCAAAGTAAATAAACTTGCATGCCTTTAATCAAAAGAAAAAATAAAAAGTGTTAAATAAGAAAGCTTTTCTAGTAAC